GCTGTAATTTCATTCAGTCTCATTGCGGAGCTTGGGCTCGACATAATTATTGCCAATCCAGCTCGTGCGAGCCACTAGCTCACAGCTCGAGGCAAGGAGTAAGCATCCTGGGCCCACGCACTGCACGTCAACATGCAGAAACCGACAGGACTCGTCCAAGTGACATCCTGGAGCTGCTATTGTCTCATGCAGATGAATGGGCAAAGTATTGGCACAAGGCCAGACGAGGTCTATTGTGTGAGCCGATTTGTCTGGGCCCGCATGCGTCATGCGCAACATTGGCTCCTGTATCATGTAACGTGTGCATGATCCGCAGAAGTTGCAGCAACGTTGGGAGGCGGTGGACCCCTAGCGCCCCCCAGAACCCTAGAACGCCCTAAGAACATGCACTGTTTTTTCTTCGAGCGATCCCCTCCGAACCTTTCGGCGTTTGTTCCCCAGTCTGGTATTGTTTGTTACTGTGGCCAGCCTGAGCTCGTTGCGCATGCCGCGTCTGATTAGACGCTGTGGCTCGGTCGCTGCTGTATTCTACTCTATCACAATATGATACGTTCTGTTCTGTTCTATTCGCATCTGGTATAGTATTGCGGCCAGCCTTACGTCGGCTCGCATGTTGCGCGTGATAGGGCGCTGTCAATCGGTCCCTGCTGTATTCTATAGTCTTCAACTTTTTGTTATTCACCGACGTTCTAGTCTGTAGCACTTTATTGCATTATGTTATGTTCTGGACGGGCTGGCGCTACGTCGTGACTCCTGTCACGCTTGGTACATCGTCCAATCGGTCGTTGTTTGTGCCGCCTCTTCCAATGGCCAGCCTTAACTCGCCGCGCACGTCGCGCTTGATAGGGCACCACTATTCGGCCGCTGACCCTTTCTTTTGTGCTATAGTTGGCTGTGTTGGATCTTGGATTATTTGAATATGCGTTAGTATTCCGTGCTGTGCTGTATTATGGTATTTCATGAGTTGTTGCATTATGCTTTGCTATGCTGCGGTACGGTCAACATTCTTCGTCAGTCTATAATTCAACAGTGTTATGGTATGCTGGTATGCTCTGGTATGCTTGTCTGTGTTCGAAAACGCTATATCTGAATCCATTGTAAACATTATAGTATAGGATATTCGGCTGTTGCACTCTCACTCGCATTCTTATGAACTGTTCTAGTACTCTGGTGTTGGACCCCCTGTGTGCTGTTGCACTCCAGGTATGATCCGTCGTACATTCACATTCGCAATTCCACGATCGCGCAGTATATTACATTGACGGGAGTTTAACTATTACCAATTGTTGGTAGCGATTGCTACGCGATGTTGTCGCCGAACATATGTTTAAACGTGGTTTAGCTCTCACCTATGCTGGACTAGTTTCGTATACGACTACCTTTCTGCCACATTGTTCCAGATGCGGTTATGCCATTGCGCTGAGTTATGCTATGATCCGCTATGTTATGTTGCCCATCTTGTAGTCTGATATGCCCTAGTGTGGAGTAGTGTAGTCGCTGCCGCAGTGACGACGAAGTAAAACACGTATGCGTGTTATGTCATGTTACGATATGGTTTGGCATGGTATGTTATGCTACGATATCTCCTGTCATGCAGCTCTATGCCACAGTCTGAGTATCCATGTTGTGGTATATTCGGTTATATAACGCGCTGTGCTGCTATGCTGTGACATGTCCTGTTATGGTATGTTATGTTGTTGTATGATCTTACGTGTTGTGGTATGACATGTATGGTATCTTATGTTAGTGTCTGTTATGTTGGGAGGTCATGGTTGAATTATGTTGTATGTTTTATAATGTAGTATACGCGTTGACGTACTGATGCCAGTATGATAGCATGTGTGATGTGCAATGTTATGATTGGTATGGTATATTCGGTTATGCCCCGCACCGTCACGGTATGATGAGTTATGTTAGGATCGAGACGTTGTTGGATGTGTTATTGTATGCTCTCTTTTGCCCTGCCGTACTATGTTATGGTTTGTTAGTGTAAGTATGCGGTGCACTGGTCATTACATCATGCTTTGCTACGCCATGGTACCCTTTACAGTTGTGCCATTACCGTTGTATGCTATAGTATACTCGTTGCCTTCGTGGTGGCAGTAGTACAACAAGTCTGTTGTGTCATGCTGTGTCCGTTTGTGGAATACGCTCTAAGTATCTGCCATCGCATGTAATGACTCGCGATTCTACGATATGACAGTATGTTATGTTCGTATGTGTCATGTTGTGTGCTGGTCATCATGTTGTGGCTTATTATGTTGTACCATGATATGCCCTGATATGCCACAACATGCTTGTTATGGTGTGTGTGTGCACGTTTTTGTTGTGTGTGTGTGTGTGTTCTTGATACCGGTTCTTCATTCATCTTTGCGCATGCGTCGTGACCCCTGGACGGCGTGACGCCATGACGCCTTCCCCTTGGGGCTGTCTGGTATGCAGGGTGTCGTCATTCGTCGAGGACGCGAAGCGGGATACCCAAGGACCTCCAGAATCCTGCGGGGTCTGCCGACCGCGGTATGGTGTCGTCATTCGTCGAGTACTGTGGGGTCTGGCGACCGCGGTATGCAGGGTGACCAGGCGGGAGCTCTTTTCCAAAATCGCACAGCCCCATCCTGTCGGGTGGGGCATCTTCAAATGCAGTCGACAGCCGCATCCGCCATGTGCAACCCCCTTCTCCGCCACCAGCTGTTGACCTCCAATTCCACACGCCTGCGCTTCGACACCTACTTTTGACTCAGCCAGCTTGACCTCCAGCCAGCACCCAGCCGCAGAACTCCAGCTCCCGTCACCACCTCAGCATTCCGACTTCCAGCCTGCCTCCAGCTTGCAACCATAGAGACTCCCGTGTGAGCCAGAGTGCTGCAGGGCTTGAGAGGCTACGGTCACCCTCGCCCTGCCCCCCAAGACGGGCGCAGGCACGCGCGCTTCGCCGCATGAGCCTGCACCGGCGCCTGGCTTGCTCGCCTCAGGCGTACGGGCTCCTATCGTTCATGGTCTGGCTGGCCAGGGCCAATACTGGAGGCCCATGCCAAGAAACACCCCTGCTTGCCTCCAGGGTGCCATGGGTTTCTTGAGTTTCGATGGTTTTGCGCTGGAAAGCGAGACGTTCCCACCAAAAACCAGTGGACGTCCTGGGGTCTCAGGGTTGGGTTCCTTGTGGAAGGTTTATTGTGGACTGGACTCCACTGTATGTGCACCCCCTTGCGCCCAGCAGGGGCGGTCGGAGGTCGTGCGGTACCTCCTGGAGGGCCGTGTGGCCCTTCTCGTCGGGGTGCCTGCCCGTGCGCGCCGAGCCCACGCGGAATTCGCGCCGGAATCCGAGACAGAACCGCAGCTCTAGGAGACAGCGGCGAGCCCAGGGGGGAAGAGAGGAGAGGAGTTCAGAAGGAGAAGGCCTTCCCAGAAGGCTCGGAAGTCCCCGGCCTTCTGAGAAGTTTCCTGGGCGTCCCCCGGAGACGCAGAAGATATTTCAGGCGGCCCGAGGGATGCTGAAGAGCCCCGCCGCATTCTGAGAGGGCCTTTTCCTTCTCACTTCCCCCCGTCGCTCGCCGCCGATACAGGGCAGCCCACACCGTGGACGACGACGACCACTACGGCGGCGACGGCGACGACGACCGCCGCGGCGACGACGGCGATGTATGTACCCGCCAGGCCCTCGCGGCGCAGTGCCCGACGGAGGCCAGGCGCTTCCGCGCGCTGAGCCGCGCCCCCTTCCCACCGACCCCGACCGTGTCCGCCGGCGCCGCCGCCGGCGTCGTCGCCGTCGCTGGGGGGGGGGAGGGAGGAGGAGGGAAGGGAGGGGGAGGGAGTATGGCCCTCGTCGTCGTCGTCCTCGTCCTCGTCCTCCTCCTTCTCCTCCTCCTTCTCCTCTTCCTTCTCCTCTTCCTCCTTCTCTGGCCATCTTGGCTCACGATGCACGTTTGCGAGTGGCAGAGCACGGATACCGTTAGTTCGCGGCGGGCAAGGCTGTTCAGCCTGGCCATTGTTCTTTGCTTGCACTCCGGGGCTTGGGTTCCCGCACATCTGCGCCTTCACTGTGGGGTTGGGCTCCCGCCACCAGAGTCTTCCATCCTCTTTCTGCGACCACGAGAGTGACGCCTCTTAGCCCGTTTTTCAGCATGCGGGGCAGGAGGCGCGGTGACAACCGAAGTGATGGATTGTGAGGGGATTCCGAATTCGTTCAGCATCCTCCGACAGCGATGGGGGGCGGCATGAAGACGATCCTCGCCGAAACCCGCGCTTCCAGGAAGGATGCACCGAGACCAGGGGGCTCATTTCAGCGATGCGGGATCAGATCGCCAGCATTGATTCTCAGCCCAAGGCCATCAGCACGACCCAGAAGGAATGCTGTGAAGTTGCTGTGCGCTCTGCTGATGGTGAGCAGCTCGTTGCAAGGATCGGCCTCAACGATCACCGAGCGCGTTGCACTACTCGCAAAGTGCCTACTCGCAAACGTCAGAAAAAAACACATGTCTGCTTTGATGTAATTTCTCGTAGATCCTCTGCGGGGGATCCAGGCCATTTGCGAGTAGCCACTTTGCGAGTAGTGGAACGCGCTCGTCTAAACGAGACCACGTTTGCCGAGTTCCAGAAGTCACCGCAAGCTGGTCGCTGGGCGCGGGATGGGTTTTGGTCATCGTCCTCCTGTGGTGCACCTTCTACTGCGTGTTCTTCGGCTACATGGCGCTCGACCGAGTCCAACCAGATGCCTCTCTTCTGACTGGTGCCAAAGTATGAGCGGGTGGGTTCACCGATGCTAGCAAGCGTTCTCCTTCGTCATGCTGACACTGTCAAGGCCGCCACGTGCGAGGACCAGCAGCAGCAGCTCGAGGTCCAAGCCTATACATCGGCAGCCAGTCTGCCTTCTTCAATTCCGCCAGCGAGGATTTCGCCAAGTCCTGCGTGGAGGTGGCCAACATCCAGGCGATCTCGTGGACAGACCTGCAGACCGACAATAAAAACAGAAGATCCTAGGGCGCAGTTGGGTCAGCATCAAGGCTCGCTGGGCCGAGCAGCAGATCAAGCGCGAGGGCCGGCAGCCCGGGCGCAACATGTACAAAGGCATGTTGCTCGTCTGGACTGTCGAATATGAGGAGGTGGCGGCCCCCTTCAACCTCGTCGACGCCGACCGCGGCCAGTGCATCATCGAGCCGAACGAAGAGAACTTAGTCGCTCACAAGATCTCGATCGAGCAGGCGAAGTCGTTTTTGGACAAGGCGCTAGATGCCTCCCGCCAGGGTCTCGCACAGCCGCTTCAGACTGCCATTTCATAATTTGTGAGGGGCCGTCTCCGAGAAGGTGGCAGGTCTACGGCTAGCGTTCGGGTGCTGCTTCCGTCTCGCAGCGAAAGCCGCAGTCGTTCTCCAGCTAGCGCCTCGACGGGGGCGAGCAGCAATTCATCCTCTTCCCATCTCAGCTTCTGGTCATTATTCCTGCTCTTTTTCTCCCTCCAGTTTTTCGTGTTGCGACGAGTTTGACTGCCCCGATGTCCCATTGCCCGTTTGTCCACTCGGAGAGATGTTCGGCTTTCTCCTAGAATGTTCAATCGCTCGTTAGATGTGTTTGGAGCTGCTCCGCGAAGTTACAGGGCAGAACCCATGCGCTCCATCGCCGTGCACAAGCTAGTCGCGCTGCTTCTATCCAGGAGTCCCGTGGACGCGAGTTCTCTTTGGAGTCTCTCCAGCAAGATCTCGGGGCGGTTTCGGGGTTCGGTTCGTCTTTTCCTTCTACCACAGCAGCGGGGGGCTGTTGTATTTGTCTTCCCCACTTAGGGGGCAGTTTTCGGCGCTTGGGCGCTAGGAGATCGTGCCCGGGCGAGCGCGCGCACCTTTGCTGGCTGGTTAAGCCGGCGCCCTTCAAATCATCGACGCCCACACAGACCCTGGCAAAAGCACCCTATCTCAGAAAGCCTTGCTGCGCAAAGCTCGAGCTGCAGTGCTTCCGCAGGCGCGAGCATCTCGTTTGATCGTCGGAGATGTCACCTTTCCGTCCGAGGGCGAGGGCAGCGTCGCGGCGCAGGGTTGCATCGCATACCCCTCTCACAGGGTCTCCTCGCACTTCATCGCTCTGCCCGGCGGGCGCGCCGATGTCGAGCCTCCGTTGCCCGCGCGCCGCGTCGTTCAGTCTGAAGAGGTTAGGTCAGTTCAGAGCGCGCGCCGCCTGGACATAATAAATGCCAGCGTGTGCAGCGCCAGTATGAACGACCTCTCTCCCGTCAGCTTCGTCTTGGGGCGCGCCCGCGACTTGGGCGTGGTTTCCGACCTCGCTCCTGTTTCTTTGGCCCTCTCTCTTTTTTGTTGGTTTCCAAGCGCCGTCATTTCCCCGGTGAGTGCCGGCGTCTTCTGGATGCAGCTCTTCTCCTTTCTGTGGGCCCTGGCCAGACCGTGACCGAGGCAGCAGGTTTAAAATCCGCGGAGCATCCTGCGCCGTGAGGAAATTGAGCGCCGCGGGGCCCGCTCGGTTCCTGGGGGTATCTCGTGGGCGCTTGCGGCCATGAGGGGAACCGACTCTGGCGAATCCCACATCCTCGAGCACGCGCCTATTGCCACCCCCTCCCGAGTAACTTCTTCGTTGCAGTGGGCGATAGGCATGCGCTTCGCAAGCGCACGGCCACGCTGCGCCGCCTCAACATCCAGAATGAGCTTGAAGAGCGCAAGCAAATCAACTATGCCGAGCCCCAGAAGAAGCGCGGTAACGGCTACCCGCGCAAGTGTCGTTCCGCCGGGGCCGACAGAAAGCGAGTTGTCTCTTTTCCGTGGGTCTCTGGCCCGACAGGGCAGCACATCGCGGCCGATAGTTGGCGGCAGGTCACATTGATGCACCATCCTGTCCTGAGGCGATGGAGAAAGGAGGAGGAGGAGGAGGAGGAGGAGGAGGAGGTCAAGCTTTTCATTCATAATGCGCCCGAGCTCGTCGAGTGGAAGGTCGACGAGGATGAGATCAACCAGGTAATTCCCCGAGCGAAGGGCTCCTTGTCCTGGGCCCGACGGAATTCCCTACTCAGGCTTGTTGCGAGCTGGGGAATTTGGCACTGGCGATCTGCGCGAGCTCTACTGCCACATCCTCGAGAGTGGCGCGGTCGACCCATCCTTCAACGAAGCTCTTGTTGTCTTTCTAGCTGAGAGGGGTGGCCAGGGGCGCGGAAGGCATTGATTGTTTGGGCCCCAGACTGCACGCGGCCGATTGTTCTCGCCAGCACTGATGACACGTTGATCTGCGTCGCGTCGAGTCACCCGCTAGCCTGCGCGCGCCATGTGCGCGCCGTCGATTTCCAGAGGGTGATTGTGCGCAATCGGAGCCTTGTAAATAATGCGAGTTCTTTCGAAGCTTTGGCGGGCTTCCTACTGCACGACGTCCGCGCAGCGATCCCGTCCCTGAAACTCGCATCTTCACTGGGTGCCGGAACCGGCGGGTGCCCCGAGGTTTGTGCACCAGGCTATCAAAACCCTGCGCGGCGGATTGGATATCCGAGTGGTGTTTGGAGGGTGCCCTGAGATTTCGTTAAAGCACTCCCGGGAAATCCGCCAGGGGTGCCCGATGTCTGGGAGTCCCTTCGCGCTGGATATTGATCCTCTGCTGCGTTTTTTGGCAGATCGTCGCCCTCTCCTTCGTGCTGTTGCTGGTGCATTTATCGATGGCCAAGGACTCGCTGCTGCCGACGTTTTCGACGCGCTCGATCGATGCCAACCTTGCTTTCCGGTCGCTTCGAATGTTGCTGGTCTGGGCTTGAAAATCCATGAGTCCGCCGCCGCCCTGCCGAGGGGCCAGCCCCAGGTGCACGTTCAGAACGGGCTTCAGGAGATCGGCCTCACCGAGACCCGCCTCAAAGCCGCCTTCTCGGGGAAGTACATTGGAGTGTTCCTAGGGCGGCACGGTTCGTCCCAGTCTCGGGTCGCTCCCACTGCCGAGTCCCTCTCCAGGATTACTGCCTCTAGCCGAGCGCCTCTCCAGGATTACTGCCTCTAGGTTTTCCTGCCTGGGTCTGACCAAGACGATCGCGCAATGCAGCGCGTTGTGCTTCTCTACCATGTCTCGCGCTGCCCAGTTCCACAGGCCGACGGCTGAGGTCTTTCAGAACGAAAGGGGAGCGCTTGATCTCTTGACGGGGCCCCCCAGGAACGCGTGCATCCCTTCTCTACTGTATGACATCAAGGCCGTCGGTTTCCAGGTCCAGGCAAGACCTTGCCTTTGGAAGAGGAGGGGGTTCTGAGCCTTCGTGGAGACTTCCTTCTTCCACATCGACTCCAACTTCAGGCTTCTGAGTCGCGTGCCTTCCTCTACGTACTTTGGCACCCCCCCCATGATCCAGAGGGCTACCGAAAAAGGTCTTTCGGATGCAAATGGGTCTCTCAGGTAGGGCTGCCCTCAACCGTCGAGCCTGTCATGTCCAGGTGTTTTCGGATCTCTCCCAGGATGAGCCCCTTTGTCAGGCTTTCACCAGTTGTGGCCGCCTCCCTTCTAAGGACTGCATGCAATGCTTGGTGCTCTTCCTTCCCTCTTCCTTCTTGGCCGCCCCTGGCCTCTCTCGTGCGTTCTCTTCCCTTGCCTTCCCGCGTCCGACGCTGCTATCGTCAGTATCGCTGTGTTTTTCGATCTGTTGTTCGCAGTTTATCATTGTTTTGGACTCTGTGGAGAGTTGGGGGGCAACTCTTCCCAGCCGCGCCGCGCGCAGTCGACTTAAGCAGTTGCTGCGCCGTAACCATCTCGCTCCAGAGCGGTCTGTGGGTGAGGTGTGCCCAGTAAAGCCCCCATGAGTGGCAGCGGCGTTCCGTCTCGGAGGATCGTTTGCCCTCGTCCGCTTGCCCTCTTCTCGTCCCCTCCTCTCCCTTCTCCTCCTCGTCTTTCTCTTCCTCCTCCTTCCCCTTCTCCTCCTGCTCCTCCTCCTCCTCCTCCTCCTCCTCCTCCTCCTCCTCCTCCCCCTTCTCCTCCTCTCTCTCCTCCTCATCCTCCTCCTCCTTCTCCCTCTCCTCATATTCCTCCTCCTCCTCCTCCTTCTCCTCCTCCTCCTCCTCATCCTCGTCCTCCTCCTCCTCCTCCTCCTCCTTTCCACTTCCGCATCCTTCCTCCTGCCTTCCCCTCCTCCCACGGTCCCGTCATTCTTATGCCCCTCTCCCACGCGCGGGCGTGTCCAGAGGTCTCCAGATGACCCCAGAGGTTTCTGGAGGCCTCCATCACGATCAAAGCAATGCAAAAACCTTCATCCTCAATCCGCCTGCCCCCCGCGCGCGGGAGGGTGGGGGTGGGGGGCAGCAGTCTACGATCAGTCTGGGGAGTACTTCTGTAATCGTCGCACTAACCAAAGTCGCATCATAAGCAGCAGGGCCGCATGTGCTTCAGCACGGGAAGCATTGGTGGTACATTCTGTGAAAAAGAAGCAGCAACATCACCAGCAGCCGCATCGGAAACAACACCATTTCAACATGATTGGTGATTGGTCACTCCTTCTTTGCCTTCGCGCCCCTTATGGTGTGATGTCCGTAATTGTTGGCGCGCATTGTCGTGCCAATGGCACGACAATGTCAAGTCGGCGTTGACGACGTATTTGCGCCATTTCTTGGGCAGAGGGATCGTGGGACGGTTGGCGATGGTGTTATCTCCGCTGGGACGCCTTGTGTACCAACAGGCGTGTCACGATCTATGGTCGCTGCTTGCCCCGAGCGGGAAACGCGGTGAACGCTGGCCTTAGGAACGGCGCACGCCTGTTAACATTGGCAGACGCAGCCCCTGGACTGACTGGATTGCCAGAGAGGGCCCCCAAACGCCTCCCGAGTCGCGGCGAAGGGTCATAGCTCCTCTTCCCTCCCTCCTCCCCCTCCCCTCCCCACCCCTTCCCAGGGCTCATTTCGATTCCTCCGATTCGATTCGATTCGATTTCGATGGCCTCCGATTCCGATTCGATTCGGCTTGGGATTCCGATGTGGGCTCCGAGTTCTCACTGGAGGCATACTAGCCTACCTACATCCGCCGATTCGACTTTTTCCGACTCGGCTGCCGATTTCGGCCGATCCGATTCATGTCGATCGCCGGTCCGACTTGTCGATTCGATTCTGGGATCTCCTGCCGTCCCTCATGTTCCTCTTCCTTGCTCCCGCCTCACCCAACCATTTGTGGCATCCGCACCCCAGTTCATCGTCCTGCTGGTCGCCTTCTCGGCGCACGTCGTCTTCTTCAGCAGCCACGCGTTCATCTCCAAGGTCCTCGGCAACTACGAGGAGCAGCAGGCGGGCAGGCTTAGCATGAACGACGTCCGGACCTCTTCCTTGTCCTCGTCCCTTTCCCCCTCCTCCCCTTCTCCTCCTCCTCCTCCTTTTCTTCCTCCTCCTCCTCCTTTTCCTCCTCCTCCTCCTCCTCCCTTTCCCCCATGTTCCGAGTTGCGGCTGCGCCCGCTCCAGCCCCAGGCCGCCTGCCGCCATTGCCGGTTGACCATAGGGCTTTTCCGTTCTCGTCTCGTCTTTGTGCTCTTGTCGCCCTCTCTTCTTTCGGCCAGTGCTACAGTCAACCCGCACAGCAAGGACGAGCATTTTTCCAAGGCTACCCCTGCATCCCTCCGTTTCGGCCCATCCTTGGCCGCTCTCGCTGGCCGCGCCCCGCTCGCAAGGTGTCGACATGGTCTTCCAAGGTCCTGGCATCCGTACCGCGCATCCTCATTACACGGGTTGGCTGTACCCGTCGGTCGTTGAAAGCAGATCATTCCGGACTCCCAGATCCCAGTCTATTTCAAGCGCTTTCCTATTTCAATATGTGGTCGTCCAGATTCCCAGATCCCGCCCTTCCTCTTCCACCCGTTGCCTTCCTCCTCCAGCGCTCGCTGTTCCGTTCTCGCCTTGTCCTCGCTCTTGCCGCCTCTCTCTCTTCTTTCGGCCGGTGATACAGTGGAGACCTCTGCCAAGAAACACCTCGCTTGCCTCCAGGGTGCCCTGGGTTTCTTGGGGGTTTTGCGGTGGAAAGCGTGACGCTCCCACACCCAAAATCGATGCACGTCCTGGGGTCTCAGGGCTGGGTTTCTTGTGGAAGGTTTCCTCTGGACTCTGGACTGGCCTCCACTGTACTCCTCCATCTCCTCCCCCGCCCCCGTTGTCACCTCTGGCTGTGTCACGCTGAACCGTCTCTCCCCTGACCGATTCCAGCGATGACGTTTCTCCTCGGGCCGTTGCCTCTCCCGAGAAGGAGGGCGAGGGGCCCCGGCGGACGGCCCTCGAGGCGTGGCTGGGCTCGCTGGGCTGGGGAGGACGATCAACGCCTGGCCCCTGCCGTTTCTCGTTTGGGGGGGGCGCGGAGTCTGGCGACTCCGACTGAGGCGCTCGCGGCAGGGGCGTGGGATGTGAGGGAGCTCCCCGCCTGCCTTCGGTCGCCCGCCGCGGGGGTGCGGGACGAGACGCCTCTCCCACTCCGCCTTCTGTTGCCGGAGCGCGTGCGCCACACCCCTCCCGCTCCGCTCGCGCGTCGCTGGCGGCCCCCCTGCCTGCTCCTTGCCAGCGGCGGGAATGCGAGAAGGCAGCAGGAGCCTGGTCCAACCAAGAGGTTGGCCCGTGAACGGGCGGGGCGCGAAGCTGGCAAGTAAAAGCAGCGCGACCCGCGTGCGCGATGCGAAGGACGCGCGCGACGAGTGGGCAAGCCTTGCGCCGTTGCGCAAATGGGGGGGGAGGGAAGGCAGGGGGGCTAATTACCGCCTTGCCGTGCTGTCCAGGCGCTCTCTGCTCCTCCCCTCCCTGATGGGAGGTGCCCGCGCTGGTTCTTCCCCCACCCCGTCTTCACCTCGCTCTCGCCTTCTCGCGAATGCGCCCCCCCCCGCCCCGCCGGGTTGTGCCGTGGGACGGGGCAGGAAAGGTAACTGCAAGGATAACCTATACGCTATACGTTGTTTATTTCTAAGTATTCGAAAGTTCTTCGATTTTTTAGGGACAAGTCCCTTGCATTTCTAAGTAATCTATCCTGGGCCTCTTCCTGGCCACTAGGGGGCCAGGAACAACTAGAAACGAACACAATTAGAAATGAGCACCACTAGAAATGAACGACGCGTACCGTCCGCCACGACTCTATCAGGGGGGCGAGAGGGGGGGGGGCACGAGAGCACCTCGCGCTCTGCCCTCCGCGCGGGCGGCCCCTCCGCGCGCGGGCAGGCCGGCGCGCGGAGAGCTGCCCCGCGGGAGTGCTCGGGCACCGCGGCGAGGGGGGCGGCCCCCCTGGCTGTGCAGTCACGAGGCCTTCGACAGCGCCAGCCATGCCATATTGAATCAGTGTCGGACAGAAGAAGTGGAAGCACAGTTGTCCGTGATTTGAAAGAGTATGAAGCATGTACAAAGATAGACCTGGGAAATTGGATTGGAACTTGAGGAAACACAGACAACGTTCATAGAGCAACTAACAGCAGTCGAGATGGAACTACATGTCCCGATTCTAATGATGAGCGCTATTGGCCTGTCGTGCGGCGGATTCACGGCGCGGAATCGTTATCCCGAGGGGGATGATGTTTCCAGCGTGAACACAATCGCAAGCATCAGGGGACGCGTGGGAAATTTGCTTCCGTGCTTCATCGATGTGCGTTCTCGTTTTGCGTTGTTTCTCGCGAGCGCGGAATACGTTCCGTCATGGTTCTTTATTGACCGTTTCCATTTTCCCAATCAGCATTGATCTCCCTCTCCTATTTTCCATGGGGCGCCCGGCATTCAGGAACGACTTGGGCCTGGGGGGCACGGCCTTGTTTTTTTTTGTTTGTGGGTTCCCTCGCTGCGCCTGGAGACTTTGCGAGCGCATTTCGGAGGTGGTTTTGAATTTCTCTCGGGCCGGGTAGGTCGCGCGCCCCCGTGGAAGTGGGTGGCGGGCGACAGGATGGGCGAGGCCCTCTGGGTCGAATTTCAACGAGGCCGCGCTGCTCGGATCTAGCGGGTGGCCCGCACGCAGGTCGCGGCCTTCTGGGCGAAGCCCGCGGGTTGATCCCGCGGAATTCACCCGCGGCCCTTGCCGCCCAGCGCATTGGCGGGCAGCCGACTCGCCGCCTCGGCGGCCGCCGCGCCAGCGGCTAGCAGATTGGGACACGCGGCAGCCTGGCAGGCTGGGCGACATGCTAGAAGCCGCCTGGTGGTTGGGGGCTCGGCGGGGAGATGGCTTGCAGCTTGGCGCGGCTCGGCTCCCCGGCCCGTCCATGGGCTTGGCGCGGCCTGGCCCGGCGGCCTGGTCCGCGAGCCGGCCTGGCCCGGAGGCGTGGCGGCAGGAAGCCGGGAGATTCGTCCGGTCGGCGGTCCGGCCATCGCGACTCTTTCCTCCTCCTCCTCCTCCTCCTCCTCCTCCTCCTCCTCCTCCTCCTCCTCCTCCTTCTTGTCGCAACTCCATATCATCCCCCCTTCTCATCTCCGCCGCCCACTCCGCCTTCGCATCCGCCGCCCTCTCCTCTTGTTTCTCCTCCTCCTCCTGCTCCTCCTCCTCCTCCCTCCTCCTCCTCCTCCTCTCCTCCTCCTTCCCCATCCTGCGCTGCTCCTGCTCCTGCTCTTCCTCCTCCTCCTCCTGCTGCTCTGCTCCCTCCTCCTCTCTCCTCCTCCTCCTCCTCCTCCTCCTCCTCCTCCCTCCTCCTCTCCTCTTCCTTTCTCCTCCCCCCTCCTCCTCCTCCTCCTCCTTTTCCTTCCCTTCCTCCTCCTTCTCCACCTCCTCCTCCTCTCCCTCCTCCTCCTCCTCCTCCTCCTTTTCCTCCCTTTCCTCCTCTCCTCCTTTTTCCTTCTCCTTCTCCTCCTCCTCCTCCTGCTCCTCCTCCTCCTCCTCCTCTCATCCTCCTCCTCCCCCTCCCCTCCCCCTCCTGCTCCTCCTCCTCCTCCTCCTCCTCCTCCTTTTCCTCCTCCTCCTTCTACTCCTCCTCCCGCTCCTCCTCCTCCTCCTCCTCCACCTCCCCCCCCTGCTCCTCCTCATCCTCCTCCTCCTCCCTTTCTCCTCCTCCTCCTCCTTTTCCTCCTCGTCGCAACTCCATATCATTCCCCCTTCTCGTGTTCGAGGTGTTTGAGCAGCACTTACGGTTTCCCCCAGACCGCCTGTATAGTGAGATGGTCCGCCTCCCTAAGCCAGGTGGTGGCCACAGGCTGATTGTGCTTAGCCATACTCTCATCCGAGTTTGGGCGAAAGCACGCCGATGGCTGTCGGCAGAGTGGCAACGACTTCACAATTGCGACGAGATGTGGGGTACTCGAGGCAGCCACACCTCCACGGCATCGTTTTTTTTTTTTTTTTTTTTGTTTTTTCATAATCTGGAGCAAGAGGTGGGAAGCCTCATAGGCGACTGCACTTGTACCATCCTCCTTGGCATGGTGAAATGCTTTGACATGGTGAGTCCCCATGCGCTCATGCGGGAGGCACGGGAGCTGGGTTACCCGATGCGCTTGCTCTGGATGTTGCTGCAGCTCTACCAGCAGCCACGGTGCATCAATGCGTACGGCAGCCTCTCGAGCTCGTTCGTCGCCTTTCAGGGGCTGCTGGCGGGGTGCACACATGCCACCTACCTCATCTACCTGCTGACGTACCGTGTCCTCCAGCGGGCCAGCAGGGTTGCGCCGAACATCAAACCACGTTCGCTGGTGGACGACATCGGCCTGCAGATGGTCTCCCCCGACCTCGGTGATGTCAAGCTGCTGCTGAGCACGGGGTTTATTCTCCAACCTGCTAAGTCCGCGGTGGTGGCTGGGTCAGCGCAGGTCCGCCCTGTGGTGCATAGGGTCCAGCGGCGGATGCCTCGGGCGGTGCCCCAAGCCCGACACACGCGCAACCTTGGCTATGAGCTGCATGGCCCTCGAGTGCTGAGGAAGGTTGAAAAGAAACACCTGAAAGCAGTGCGGGAGCGCAAGCACCGACTCCTCATGCTGCGACGAGCGGTAGGGCGCAAGGCCTCCACCCTGTGGCGGACTGGGCTCATGCCGTCCGCAGGGCACGGTGCTGGAGTGTCGGGTTTGGCGGGCGCGCCCCTACGCGAGATGCGCAACTTGGCCGCGGTGCTCAACGGGCGCAGTGACAAACACCATGTGGGCGTCATGGCATACCTCCTTACTCACCCTTCGGAGGAGTACGACCCTATATATCATGCCACGCTGGACTTGGTCTTGAACTACGCCGCCTTGATTCGGGATGGGCGTGCGTCACCTAGCCGCCTGCAAAGGGCTTGGACATGCCAAAGGTCCCCTGGCCGCGACTTGGTTGACGCTCAGGCGGCTAGCCTGGGACATGAAAGCGCCGCACGTCTTGCAGGACGAGCTGGGCAACCAGTATGACCTGTACCGCGTTTGCCCTGCTGACCTGCGACCGTTCTTGGTGCAGCGCGTGCAGCGCTGGCAGTATGACCGCCTCACCAACCACATGTACTCCCACGCTGGTGCGCCCATCTGGCACCGTGGGCTCAGGTGCGCGGTCAAGGGCGTCCGCGCCGCTAGGCAGCTGGGATCCTTACAGGCGCTATGGTCTGACAACGTACCCATGCCGATTCGCAGGGACATGAAGCTCGGCAGGCCCATGCGCCTTTGTCAGGTTTGCGGGAATGCCCGCGCGCCCGACGAACGCTGGGGCCATGTATTCTTGGAATGCCCCGCGCGGCTGGCCCCCCCACCCGTAGGGGAGAGACGATCCATGGGGCAGGAGCCGACGGACCATGTCCAAGGCCTGCGACACGCGCAGAACACGCGTGGCTTCGGCGACCTAAGCCAGCAGGTTCACGACCACCTCGAGAGTCGGGCCGATCCGACCCTGCCGCCCCGCACCGGCGCCCAGCAGCCCAGCGCCATGGAGGCCGAGGGCGACTTCTTTCCAGGCATCGGGCAAGGGGTCGATGAAGAGGTCGACTTTGTGCAACCCGATGGGTACGACGGCCATCAGGAGAAGGTGCGGCTGGACGCGCAGAGTGTCCCCTGTGCGCCACCGGTTGCTGCGGAACAGAGTGGCCCGCTGTCCCCTGCGGCGGCGGCCCCAGCCTCGGCGCCCGATGCGCCACGCGGGCGCGGCGAGCCCGAGACAGCGACGCCAACGCTGAATGGCCGTGGTATCTTCCACCTCCCCCAAGTGCTGGCTGAGGTGCGCGACCAACTTATCCAAGCGGGTCTTGGATCAGGCACGCCGCATTTCGAGCAGTCCTACCTCGTCTTTGGCATACCCGAGCCTCCCGCTTATCTGCCACGCGCAGATGCGTGGAGGCATGATGTCTGCCTTTGGGGCGACGCCCATGGCGTTCTGGGCCCCGTTTCTGACACCGACGGGTCTGGTTACGATTCAAGTGTTCCCGAGGCGCGGAGATGTGGACAAGCTGTTGCGCAGCTTGATCCTTACCCTTGGCTTCCAGTTAGGACGCGGTTCGGGCCCCTTTTTCTGTACTTGGCGCAGACTGTCGGCCGTGCTGAGAGGCACGCGATCAGGGAGGGCCCGACGCTTTCCCTGAGCACCAGCGCTTCGTCACTGACCTGCCGGCGCTCGCCCAGGAAGCAGAGCGCTGGTGCTCCGAGCTCGAGCAGGGTCGTGCCAAGCATGCTCGAGCGCGGCGGGACATCTTCGTGGCCAGCCGCAGGCGCACTCTGCGGGACCCCCCCCAAAGTTCCGATGGGCGCCAGCGCACAGGTCCTTGGAGGCGCCTATGGCCACAGAGCCGCAGGGGCTGCGTGACTGGCTAGGCAGCGGCTGGGCAGACTACTTCGCGCGTTGTGCCGCGGCCCCCCGCGCGCTGGCTGGGTCGGTAGCTGAGGCGGCAACAGCTGCGCTCAAGCAGCACCGCAAGGTCCTGCAGTTCACGTCGTGGGCGGCGCTGCAGGTGGTGGCTCGCAAACAATGGGGATGCGACGCAGAGGTTCCCGGGCCACTTTGCGAGCAGGCCAGGCCCATTGCGGTGGCACGCGGTGCGGACCCTGCGCCAGCCTCGGGCGGTGCCGATGTGCCAATGCGGAGTCACGGCCGCAGCGGGCTCCTCCCTCGAGTCGCTGCAAACTGGCTCTCATCGTGTATGTCGCCCTCCACGTGTTGCCAGGGCTCTCGACGCCGAGTGCATCCGCGCCCCCGGCGAGGGCTGGGTTCACTGCAGCGACCAGAGGGCTGGCATAGCCCTGGGCGCGGCCTTGGCGCTCGAAGGGAGCTCACAGCCCTCGGCCCCCGCAGCCTTGTTGCCACCTTCCCTGGCAGAGGAGGTTGCGGGCGCCTTCGCCGCGCCTGGGTACGACGTGTTCAGGGGCAACAGTGTTTGCTGTAGCAGGCGCTGCGGGTCTCACTGCGCGGCGGGGGATGTCCGCACAGCGCGGAAGCTTGGCTTGAGGTGCGATTGGCTCTCGCCCAACGAGTCCACGCGCCGCAACCAGCAAGATGCGATCAGGCGAGTCGAGAGGGGCCTGGCACCTCGTGCCCGACGTACCCCTGCAGCGCCGCCCCCGCAGGGGGCGGCGCTGCAGGGGTGATCGACCATGTCGTGATTCGCTGCCGTGCCGTGGTCGGCTGGTGGCGCGGCGTCTTCTTCTGTGGCGACGCCTCATTCGTTGGCGGCATGTTGGCCTGCGCCGACGCGCCCCTGACACACTTCCTCTGCGAGTGGGTCTTCCTCCACGCTTTCTTCAACCTTGCCCTCTCCGCCATCGTGGCGCGAGGGCGCCTCGGCGTAGTCCGTCGGGCGCGCGCCAGCGCGGCCCGCGGGAGACGCTCGAGAGGCGCTGCGCTCCTCCTCCTCGTCCTCCTCCTCCTCCTCCTCCTCCTCCTCCTCCTCATCATCCTCCTTATCCTCCTCCTCCTCCTCCTCCTCCTCCTCCTCCTCCTCCCCCTTCTCCTCCGGGGCGCCAGCTAGCTGCCGACAGGGTCTGTCAACCGCCCTCGAGAGTGAAACGCGCGGCCACCGGCGCACCTTGCAACCGCCTATGGCCACGCGATCGGACATCCAGGCACAGGGCCGGGCACATCGGCAGGGGCCGAAAACAGTGCACTGAAACACTGGAAAAAGGCTCGAACAGGTTTACCGCAGTCTGCAGTCAGTCCGAGCCGTCTGAAAGCTCCTCGCCCTCCCGCACGCCCAAACCACCCCCTCCCTCACGAAGGCGGCAGCGGACTGCAGCCAGCTGCGGGCGCGCGCGGGTGGCACGCTGAGCTGGCAAGGGCGCGGACGCAGAGGGCGGGGCAGAGGACGCGGCAGCCGAGGCGGCAGCGACAGATGGCTCAGCATGAAGCGTGTGCTTCGTGCCCCGAGCAATCAAGGGGGGCCCGTCGCCAGCGGAACGGACGCCGTGATTGGAGCACTTATCATCAATGCCAGACGTCAAGTCAGAAACGCGGTGCACAGTACCGCGGAGCTTAAACTCCCCTTTCTCCAGCCTTTTGTTCACCACCGTGTGAGCCCGCTTGGGAGCGCGGGGAGGGGGGGGCAGGGTTCAGACAAGGAGACCAACCTCTGAGACGCAAAGGCCCCGCACTTCCCACAGCAGACGACTTCGGTGGGCCTCGGCTGGGTCGGGACCGAAAAGTATCCAGGCGAAGGCCCCAACTATATACAGTTGTGGGTGCCGTAGTTGTGAATATCTCCTTCGGTGAAGTTCCCTATGGGGCCACGAAGCGCTGCACTGGGCGGGGGGGAACGCTGTACTGTGCGGGTGGTGTGCCGACTTGGGTTTCCGGGACGCATGCAGACGGTCCCACTGGGCGTTTCGGTGGACCCCCCTATGGGGCCACGAAGCGGTGCATTGCGCGGGTGAAGATGCGAAATCACACTTCCCGGACGCATACGGACGGTGGCACTGGGGCCTTGGGTGGAACCCCCATATGGGGCCACGAAATGCTGCACTGGGTGGGTGAAAATGCAAAATTGGGCTTCCAGGGCGCATGCGGACGGGGGCACTGGGGCATTCGGTGGAGCTCCCCATGGGACCACGAAGCGCTGTACTGGGTGTGCGGGACGCATGCGGGCGGTAGCACTGGGACCTTCGGTGGGGCTCCCTGTGGGGCCACGAAACGCTGTACTGGGTGGGTGAAACGCAGGGAGGAAGGGGGGGAGGGCCACGAAACGCTGTACCTGGTGTGCGGGACGCATGCGGACGGTAGCACTGGGACTTTTGGTGGAGCTCCGTATGGGGCCACGAAGCGCTGTATTGGGTGTGCGGGACGCATGCGGACGGTAGCACGGGGACCTTCGGTGGAACTCCCTATGGGGCCACGAAGCGCTGAACTGGGTGTGGGGGACGCATGCGAGCGGTAGCACTGGGACCTTCGGTGGGGTTCCCTATGGGGCCACGAAACGCTGTACTGGGTGTGCGGGACGCATGCGGACGGTAGCACTGGGACCTTCGGTGGGGCTCCCTATGGGGCCACGAAGCGCTATATTGGGTGGGTGAAACGCACGGAGGATGGGGAGGAGGGCCACGAAACGCTGGGACGCATGCGGACGGTTGCACTGGGACCTTCGGTGGGGCTCCCTATGGGGCCACGAAGCGCTGTACTGGGTGGGTGAAACGCACGGAGGAGGGGGAGGTGGGCCACGAAACGCTGTACTGGGTGTGCGGGACGCATGCGGACGGTGGAGGAAGAGGGGGAAGAGGAGGAGAGAAGGAGAACGCGGGACCGTCTCTTCAAAACGAGGACCCAACACCACAAGATGGTTGGGAAAAACATAAAGCTGATGGACGTTCAAATCTTTGGCCGAGAGGGGCACCTGAGACTGGGCAACTCTCTCTGCTAAGGTGAGCGGCTGGGGCTTGACAGGCTTGATTGAGGGAGGAGCAACACTGCGGGGCCGCTTCACTCAATGCAAGCAATCGGTCTCTGCCATGACAGCTCCAACCTGTGCAATCAACACTCCGAGTCCACGCACAATTTTCTGATGCTGGGCAACAAGTCGCTGCAAAGCACGGGGTGGCCTTCGATCATGTGCACGCGCTTTCGCCTCTTCATCCGCACACTTATTGCCAAGCGTGAGACGGTACGACTGATAACCCTCCAAAACTATCATCTGGGAGACGTGGGACTTGACCTTCCTGACCTGGACCCCGTCCCCCAGTCCTCTAGCTTATCCCAGACGAGCCTCCAGAGATGCGCCCACAAAAAACAGCAGCTGTAGTATGCTCACTTCCCCAAAGATCACCCTCTTTCACGACGAACGACGGGTCGGTGTAGACCATGCTGGGCGGCACGGCGTGTACGAGCACAGCAAATACAACATACAATTCATCACCATCAATACCCTGGTGAGGGCCAGGCATAATACCAGTGATAATGGTGGCCGCCACATCGCCGTCAGACCGAAGCGTTCCCAGAAAGGGAAACCATTTTTTTTTTGACAGCTCGGATAAGGTGTTCGTGGTGAACGAGTTTGAAAGCTTTCTTCCGGCCAATCAGCAGCGTAGCCGTTTCGGAGCCCATATCGGTATGAGATTCAGCCCATGCCCCTTGCAGCCAAACCGAAAAATCAGCCGATTTGCCCCAATGGCCCACCAGAAATATCTATAGTTAGCTTTCTGCCAAGCCTGCAAAATATCACGACGAAGGCGATCCTCCAGACGTTCCCCTCAGGGAACGTCTGGAGGACTTTTTTGAGATGGTCCAGGGTAGGTTGGGGAGGGCGTTCTCCGAGGTCCAGAGGCCGGGAGAGAGGTGGGTGCTCTTCTCCAACTTTAGCCCATTCAGCCTACAGAGTATCTACCTACTGCATGGAGTTGGCGGGCGCATACTGCACAACGGTAGAAGGCTGCCACGCATCTGGTAGCTCGATGCACTTAAACAGAGCAACCGATCCGTTCGCAGAATGCTTCCTGACCCATGGCTCCCACCCGGCTGTCTTGTGAGAAGCAGCTGCGCGAGTCAAAGATACGTTTGATCATTCGCCAGATCGGCAAGCATTTGGGCAAGCGATAAGTACAGGTCAGAACACTGCAAGTGGTCCAGCATCACACAGAGTTGCGTCATGCAGCCTGACTGCACAAGCGGCGAGGCCTGCAACTTCCTCGCAGCACTCATTGCCCGCCGAGTCCTGCTGACGCTACAAGGTTCAGAGACGGCCTGAAAAATCTGCGACACGCTTCTCCACCAGATCGCTGTCGGGCTGACCCGTGGGAACGCTGGCGGTCCAGGTCGTCCAGGAGAAACCCAGCGGAAACGAACAGGCCCTCGGCGCTCACGAAATCCAGTAGCCAGATCGGGATCAACCTGGTAGACCTCGCGCAGCTCCAACTCGGCCGCGGTGATAAACTGGTCCCAAGACTCCGCGACGTTGCCAGACTCCACAGCGACCCGATTGAGGACCCACCAATGCTCATCAGGAGGCGAACGGGGCCCAGCGAGAACCACAACAGGAAACCTTTTGGGCATTTGAACAAGCTTCACCTGGACAGATTTACGTGGGGTACGCGGGTGCATTCTGACGGGGTAGTGAGGCGCCACAGGAACATGATGGATGACCTCGCGGCATAGGGCGCGAGCTCACTGCTGACAACAAAATAGTCGATCACGCGATCGGTTGGTCGGCAAGTCCCGTCGTTGGTGGCCACGATACCTCCGTCGAGGGCAGATATCCATCCACTATAATCTAGAACCTCAGGCTCCATGTTGAAGTCTCCAGTGGGAACGAATTGCATGCCCAGAGACCTCAAGGCACCTCCCACATGACACAGTATGGCCCAGCTTTGCGTGGCCAGCCCGCTACTGTGATGAAGGTAGATGCCAGCAATCAGAACGCCTCCAGGAAGGATGCCTCCCAAGTGCAGGGGCCCAAGACGCCCTGGCTCTAGAGTGTCGGAAGTCCCGGGAACCGTGGATGGACAACGATGCTTGGGCACAGACAGAATCACGCCTCCTGACGTACCACCACGACCTGTGGGCACGGCAGGATCGACTCGGCCACGTCGACCTTGGGCTCGATGTTGCGCTCCGAGCGGCTCAGCATCGACAAACTGCGTCTCTTGGAGAGCCAACACATCCGCGATGACAAGGGGGAGGAGAGGAACACGTCAAGCCCAGCACTATCAGCAACATCACAAGTCACAAAAGGCCAGGTTCGCGGCTCAGAACGCTCATTGCTGAACGGACTGTTGCACCTTTGGCTTCTTGGCTCGGGCCAAGGCATCCTGAAAGGTGGCCTCGGCGGCTTTGCGGGTGTTGCAGTGGGCGTTGGCTTTGCCCTCGCCTTCGCCGTCACCATCAGCGTCGCCCTTCGAGGCCTTGGCCACGAGATCGTCGATCCACGTCCCGTCGAGGTCCTCGAATCGGATGTCGCCCATGGCTGCATCGGAGGCCATCAGGTGGAGTAGGCTGCCCAACGCCACCAGCAGCGCCAGCTTCACGACCCTCAGCCTGACGAGCTGCTTCAGCCGCCGCAGCCTCGACAGCCTGCTTGGCCTTCTGCTCCATGGCCTGGTCGCGCTGAGTGATGAGAGCGTCGAAGTCATGCAGCACGCTGGAGTTGACGCCGAGCTCTCGCAATTGCCCTCGCAGCGCGGCCGCTGGGTCGGACACGGGAGCGGCTCCTTGCTGTTGCCCTGAGAGCTCGGTGAAGGCAAAGGCCCGCTTGGCTGCCTCTCGCTATCTCTCTTGGATACTGTCGTACTCGCTTTGCACCTTGTGAACGCGCTCAATCTGCAACATGAGATGGCCACGGGCCTTATCCGAGGCCGTCTCGGCCTCCTGCACCTTCGACTTGAGAATGTCATGCTCCATCTTGGCCTCCTTCGGGACAGCCATTGGTTCACCATTGCGCACAGGGCGCCGAGACACAACCTTGGCCCGAACAGCAGCAGGAATGAAACTAGAAAGAGCATCAAACTGAGCAGCGTCCATGGCAAGAAAGGCTTCAACCTGGCTGTCGTCGAGCGAATCGACGACCACGGAGTTGGCACCACCCGCTCCACACTTAGCCCCTCCGCGAGACTTCAGTGGTCCATTGGCCCATGCCCCCGAAGGGGGCTTGGCTTCGACTTCGCCTGGGGCCGCAAGACGAGGGGCACCACAACAGTAGCACATCTTGCGCCACATGAGGCTGCTTGAGAACTTATACTTCTTGACCGAACGGGTCCACGTTTGCAAACTCCACGGGTTGCGGACGAAACCTCCGCCACTTCGGCCATTGCCGCCCATGACAAGTACCCAGAAAGAGCGACTACCATGTGAAGTAACAGTGTGGGAGTTACAGTACACGGAATGATGGGGTTCGTTTTCGGGGGCCTTTTTCCCCCACGCCAAAATTAACTCCAAGCCCGAGCCACCGGTACGGACTTGAGCCAAAATGGCTACGGACCCTTCCTTGCCCTCTTCCTCCTCCTCTTCCTCCTCCTCCTCCTCCTCCCCTGCTGCTGCTTTCCCGTTTCCCTGTTGCCTCAACAGCCCAGACTTTCACAGCGAGAGGTCGTGTGGGATGGGATCGGCATTGGGTGCCGTGCTCGACCTCAAACCCACCCTTTTTCCTTCTTTTCCCTCTTCTCCCTCCCTCATCCTACTTTGGGCGCCTCTCTCGCGCCTATCGTAGCTTATGTTGCCCTCCCCGTCGGACGTGCCTCCCCTCCCTGCTGCTCCTGCTCCCCCGTCCGTTCCATAGATGACATATCCACTTCCTCGCAGCATGGATTTGTGCGCCGCCAGGCTTCGACGCGTCGGCCACCGCCACTGTCGCTGTCGCTGTCGCCCGAGTCAGTGGCCCGGATGATGCGGTGGCGGCGGCATCAGTGCCCTCTGCGCGCCCCGAGTCCAGCAAGACATGATGGAGCAACACCCGCTTTATTTGTCTGATGTGATAGCGGGGGCTGTGCTCAGGGAAGGCTGCAGCGCGATTTAACGGTGTGCTGTCAACCAACGCTGCTGGGGGGGCCCTGTCAACCACACCTGCAGGGTGGGCCCTTTCTTTTTTCTGTGCACTTCCGCTGTGGCTTCGACTGCAGCTGTGGGTGCGCTGCGAGGCGTTTTCGGGCCAGCTCGCCCGATTCGGTTCTCCGCTCATGTGTGCATCCCTCCCCTCGGCTGTTGCTGCGAAGCGCCCATCCCCTGGAAGTTCTCTGCAGCGACCAGTTGTGCCAGAGCCTCTAGCCTGGCGCAAGTGTGACCGCAGGTCTCGCTCCCAGGCGGCGGCGGCAGGTGCAGCGACGACGGCGGCAGCGCACGGCCGCCCCCCAGCGCCAGGCCGGGGCCAAGCGCAAGGCCGAGGAGGCCGAGGGAGACGAGCATCCGACGGCTCAGCGGCCAGGCGCGCGGCCGCCCCGACGCCGCCGAGGTGGCCATCGCCGCCGCCGCAGCTGCCGCCGCCGCCGTCGCCGTCGCCGTCGCCGTCGCCGCCGCCGCCGCCGCCGTCGTCTTCGTCGTCGTCGTCGTCGTCGCTGCTTTCCGTTGTGCAGATGGTTTGTTTTCCACGGTTGTCGCCCCCCGTCCTGGGCCTCTGCAGGCAGACCCTCGCCGCGCGGGGCGGGCTCGCCCCGAGGTCCCAGTCGAGGCGCGCTGCTGGCTCGGGCCGAAGGCCCGTCTTCTTCCGCCCTCCTCCTCGTCCTTGTCCTCCTCCTCCTCCTCCTCCTCATCCTCCTCTGCGTGCCCGCCTCCTTTGTCCTCCTCGGGCTGCGGCAGCCGCTATCGTCGACGCCGTCGTCGCGGCCGTCGCCGTCGCCGTCGCCGTCGCCGTCGCCGTCGCCGTCGTCGTCGTCGCTTTCCGTTGTGCATCTGGTTTTTTTTTGTCCACGGTTGTCGCCCCCCTTCCTGGACCTCTGCAGACAGACCCTCGCCGCGCGGGGCGGGCTCGCCCCGAAGTCCCAGTCGGGGCGCGCTCCTGGCTCGGCCCGAGGGCCGTTTTCTTCTGCCCTCCTCCTCCTCGTCCTCCTCCTCCTCCTTCTCCTCCTCCTCCTCCGCGTGCCCGCCTCCTCCGTCCTCCTCGGGCTGCGGCAGCCGCTGGGGCGCAGAGGCGTCACCCATCCGTCCTTCTGGAGGACCGCGCCCCGCCCCGCAGGTGCGCCTCCGCTCCGTGCCGTGCCCGCCTCCCCTCCGCGCGCCTCCCCGCCGCGCCCCCCCCTCCCTCATTGCGCAGCCTCCCGCCCCTGTGCCTCCCCGGGGCGTCGCGCCGCGCCCGGTTTCGGCTCGAGCGCTCGCGGGGCGTCGCTGTGCCCGCCTCGGCTCCCCAGGCATCCGAGGACGAAGCAGTGGGCGCCTCAGAGACAAGAAGCCGGCAGGGCTCGACCCACAAGGTCGTTTGGCGATTGCGCGGGCGGTTCTCGTTCCGATCTCGTCCTGCAGCAGGGGCGGAGCGAGGACAAAGCGCGGGACGGCGAAGACAAGACGAGCAAGCTGTCTAGGCCGATCCTCGGACATCGGCCAGCAGGTGCCCCGCTCTGTGCCTCCCAGTGGGCTCCGAGCCGAAGGGGTCGGAGGATCGCGCCGCATCGCCGACGCACCGGCGATGTGGCTCGATGTAGAACTCGATTTTCCCCACGCCGACCTCGCCGATGCATCGCCGGCGTCGTCGATTCGGCGCGATCCTCCGACCTCATCTTATACTCGGACCCTACTTGGGAGGCCTCTACCCACGGAAGGTTCTCATCACCTGATGACCCCAGGGACCCACGCAAGCTCGGGGGTTCCTTTTCCCAATACCCTCAAAGATAGACGAGTACTGTGCCCCAAGACTTCTTGTGGCAAGCCTCCTCATCTTGTGTGCCTGCTGCATGAGCTGTTCAGTCCGCGGCCCCAGTTCTTCCGACCGCTCCCTCTGCAGTGTTTGCTGTCCTGGATCCGTTTCTGCTGGCCCCGGGACCCGATCAGCACACGTTGTTCAATTCTAATGTTTCGAAAGTTCTTCGATTTTCCGGGGGCCAAGATCCTTTCATTTCTAATTCTTCTATCCTGGGCCTCTTCCTGGCCACTGGGGGGCCAGGAACAATTAGAAACGAGCAGAATTAGAAATGAGCACGATTAGAAGTGAACGACGTGTCCGGCCCCCCCGCCGGGGGCCGAGGTCCCCGGCCTGTGCTCGAGCCCGATCCCAGGGGTTGCCCCCCGGGCTCGACCACGGACCGAGGTCGGGGGCTCCCAAACGGCGCGGTGGCCACACCGCGGGGCGGACCTAAACGGTGCTTTGGCGATTTCGTGGGCCGTTTCCGTTTCGATTTCGTTTTGCGGTAAAGGCGGATTGGAGACAAAACGAAGGAAAACGAGAACAAAGCGAAAACGAAAAACACCGTTTAGGTTCAGCCCTGGACCACACCGCGTGTTGGATCAGTGAGGCACCGGGGTCACCGCACAGTTCTGGGACTCGGGGGTCGTTTTTCGAGGCCGTCTCGGGCAACTGGAGCCTCCGAGGCCCCAAGACCGTGCTAGTCGCCGTGCCGTTCCCAGCCAGGCGACGTCTTGCTCTGTCCATGCACGTGGGCCCCCGGGTCTCTCGGCCCACTCCCCAGGCCTGGCTCCGCATCCTGGGCCCTTTCTTGACGGTCCCAGGGCCTGGCGAGTCGGGCACGTCCCCCTACAGGAGGAATTTTCAAAATTGTCAAAAGTAGTCTGGAGACGATTTTGCTGGCATGTTGTGGCAACTGTTAATTATATTCGAATATGTTTTACCTTTCGTCCCCAAATCCCCCTGTAGGGGGACACGCCCGACCTAAGACCAACAACGGTCAACATTTCGAGTCGTGATTTTTGCCATGGAACGAGACCCCCAACGAGGGGCGTGCCACCAAGGAGGGACGGCGGGGTTGGAGCATGTCCATGGAGGAGTATCTTGGATCACCATAGGCGAGCAGATACACCAAGCCAAAGCGCGCAGGGACCATGCTTGTGCAGTCCTTCGTGATATCTGGGTTTTCGAACCCCCCACGAGGGGCGTGTCGCCGGTGCTTTTGCAGGGGACCGACCGTCCCATCATCTCTAAAGGCCTACGACGGAATTTTCTTAGAACCCCACAATTTTCAAAAACGCAAACACTGTTGTTTGAACAGGAACCCGATGCACTAAGATAAGACAGCCTCAGCCAGAAATATGTTGGAAGGATATTCCGTGCAGACCAAACAGGGTTCTCAGAACATTCTCTGGTGGACACGCACCCATCACACATCTGAAGAACAAGAGTAAATTCTCGTGGGCCCCAGAAGACGTCGAAGAAGATCAAGAGTGTGGACTGCACCCTGGGTGTTTTCTTGGAGCTTCCCTTCTTCGCAGAATGCTCTTACACCTGGACCCGGACTACTGTTAAGTCCGGCACGTCCCTCTACAGGAGGAGTATTCAAACATAGAAGTACGTAGTCTGGGGACGATTTCTGGATTATTCTATGATTATCCGTAAGGGCTTCGCCACCTGCCGCCGACCCCCTCTCTCGGAGAATGGGAGATGCAAAAGCTAAATCATGAGGTCTGGGCGCCGCCGTGAAGCAGTGTCGGGACCTGTTTGTTTTTCGACACTGACCCTACGGATTTGCGTCACGGGTGCCACCGAATTTCATAAATGCGGCAAGCCCCTTTGTTTTTGGACCCTGACCCTACGGATCTGCGTCAGGGATGCCACCGAATGTCAGACATGTGGCAAATCCCATGTGTTTTTGGACCCTGACCCCGCCGATCTGTTTGAGGGGTGGCACCGAATGCCAGAAATGTTGCAATTCCCCTTTGTTTTTGGACCCTGACCCCGCCGATCTGCGTGAGGAGTGCTACCGAATGTCAGAAATGTGGCAAATCCCATAGGGTTCGGACCCTGACCCCGCCGATCTGCTTGAGGGGTGGCACCGAATGCCAGAAATGTTGCAAATCCTTTTTCCCCACATCCAAAGTGGGGTTCTTGTTTTCTCTTCTGCACACGCCGCGCAGGATCTTACACATCCCCTTTCCTCTCTCTCTCTCTCTCACTCACCATCATCGCCATCATCATCACCATCAACCACCATCATCGTCATCACACGCACACACTCATCATCATTACCATCATCATCACCATCGACCACCATCACCGCCATCACTAGTCATCATCATCATCCTCATCATCATCGTCACCATCATCACCACTCGATCACCCACTCACTCACTAAATTACTCACTCATCCTCAGTAGGCTTCGGAGGCAGTGGTCCTCCGACGGTAGGACCGCCGCCACTCTCAACATCATCGTCACCATCTCCATCATAAACTCTCGATCACCCATTCAGTGGCCATCATCATCATCGTCATCCTCATCCTCATCATCATCATCATCACTCATTCATCACACACTCATCATCATCATTCGTTCACTCATCATTTCGTAATCAGGCGGGGGCCTCTGAGTGAATTGCGAGGAAGTCTCAGGCGGGAGCCCCCTCTCATGGGGCCCGCAGATCATGTTACTAATCCGAGCGGGTCATCGGAACCCTGTAACTGTCGTCACTTTTGGGCCTCTGAGGCTTGAACATGCAGGAAGTATCAGGCGGGAGCCTCGTCTGTGAGTGAATTGCCAGGAAGTCTCAGACGGGAGCCCCCTCCCTATGGGGCCCGCAGATCATGTTATTAATCCGAGCGGGTCATCGGAACCCTGTAACTGTCGTCATTTTTGGGCTCTTGAGGCCTGAATATGGAGGAAGTCTAGAGCGGGAGCTTCGTCTGTGAGTGAATTGCGAGGACGTCTCAGGCGGGAGCCCCCTCATTATGGGGCCCGCCGATCATGTTATTAATCCGAGCGGGTCATCGGAACCTTGTAACGGTCGTCACTTTTGGGCTCTTGAGGCTTGAATATGAAGGAAGTCTTGAGCGGGAGCTTCGTCTGTGAGTGAATTGCGAGGACGTCTCAGGCGGGAGCCCCCTCCCTATGGGGCCCGCAGATCATGTTATTAATCCGAGCGGGTCATCGGAACCCTGTAACTGTCGTCACGCTTGGGCCTCTGAGGCTTGAGTATGAAGGAAGTCTCGAGCGGGAGCTTCGTCTGTGAGTGAATTGCGAGGACGTCTCAAGCGGGAGCCCCGTCCTTATGGGGCCCGCAGATCATGCTACTAATCCGAGCGGGTCATCGGAACCTTGTAACTGTCGTCACTTTTGGGCTCTTGAGGCCTGAATTTGGAGGAAGTATCAGGCGGGAGCCTCGTCTCTGAGTGAATTGCGGGACGTCTCAGGCTGGAGCGCCCTCCTTATGGGGCCCGCCGATCATGTTATTAATCCGAGCGGGTCATCGGAACCTTGTAACTGTCGTCACTTTTGGGCTCTTGAGGCTTGAATATGAAGGAAGTCTCGAGCGGGAGCCTCGTCTGTGAGTGAATTGCGAGGAAGTCTAAGGCGGGAGCCCCCTCCCTATGGGGCACGCACTTCATGTTCGAACCCGAGCGGGTCATCCGAGCGAGCTTTTTGGGCTCCTCAGCTCCTGCGGCCTGAACACGGGGGCGCCCCCATCGTGCTGCACCTCGGCGATTTCCTGCAGCTGAAGCCCACCGGCAGCATCGGGCTCCTGACGGACGTGAACGAGCGCCTGGACGACGGAAAAGGGTCGTACAAGTACGCGGAGCCGCCGACGGTGGAGATCCAGCATGCCATCAGGGTCTTCTCTCAGATCCCCTGCGTCTTCGAGCTGAAGGGCACAAAGCGCTTCGAGCCGGGGGACCCACTGATCGCGTTTTTGGGCTGCACGCGCGAGGGCAAGCGCTTCCCACCAGAGGTCTGGTCTGCCTGGGAGAAGACGTTGGCCTCGGACAACCACGGCGTCCTGGACCCACGGCACCAACACGATAATTTCCGGCTCGGCTACGGCATGGGCATCTACTAGGAGACGCTGGCGAGGTGGATCAACGCGCGCGCTCGTCGCGACGCGCGGCGCCTCGGCGTCCCCCTTGTTTTCCTGCAGGCCGTAGACGAGTGCGGCACGATTCAAGGCGACCCAGACGCAGGCCGGCGCCTCCTGAACGTCCCGAACATGCAGAAGACGGGAGACATCCACGGCGTCTTACCGGCACACGTCGGCATGGAGGTCCGGTTCGCGGCCGCGCAGGAGGAGCTGAAGAAGAAGTTGGGGCTCGCGCAGGAGCAACGGGCCACCATCGTGTCCTTCGAGTTTCACGCAGACGACGAGCGGGACTACGAGGAGTGCGCGCCGGGCCAGCTCTTCCGCCCCCGTTTCCTACCGCGGGGAATCTGGCTGCAGGCGCAGCTTCCAGGAGTCCCCGATCTACAAGGAGGTCGCCGAGGTGCTGCTGCAGGGCGCCGATGGCGCCGCCGACGACGGCGAGGCCGAAGCGCGGGCGAGGAGCTTGCTCATGTTCAGGCCCAGCGAGCAGGAGCTCACGTGGCAAAGCTCGGGGGCGCACAGTGTGCGCCGCTCGGGGTTCGCCCTGGCGCACGCGTCCTACCTGACCTCCACGCTGTCGCAGGGCCAGACGCTGCGCAAGGGCGTCACCATCGACTGCGCCAGGGATGAGGGCGCTGGCCGCACGGGCATGTCGGACGAGATGTGGTGGCTGCACCTCTACGTCATGTTCTCCCGCGCCACGTGCGTGCGGAACATGCTGATCCTGCGGCCGCCCGCGCGAGGGTTCCTGGAGCGCGGGCCGCCGGCGTCGCTGCGGAAGGCGCTCCAGGAGGTCGACAAGAGAGTGGTGGATTCCAGGGCTGAGGCGGAGCAGCTCGCGGCAGAGCTGGGCTTCGTGCTGCCGCCCGCCTGAGCGCCGCGGCGCGCGCCTAGAGGCCCGCGGGGTTGTCCCGACGGCTGGTTCCCGCGCCCCTGCGGCCTGCGAGGTTGCCCCGACGGCCTGGCCCGAAGGGTTGCCCCGACGGCTTCGCGATCTATCCGTCGGCGAACGCGCGCGTGCTGGCCGACGCGGCGACGGCGCCGAGGAAAATCGAGATGCTTGCCGCGACCAGGGGGAACGGGGGGTGCACATGGAAAAGAAGCAGGAGGATGAGGAGGGAAGGGGCATGGGGGAGGGCGACGACGAGGAGGAGGTGGCGCGAGAGGGGTAGGAGGAGGAGGGGGAGGAGGAGAAGGAGGAGGAGGAGGAGAAGTAGGAAGAGGAATAGAATGAGGAAGAGAAGGCAGTGCAGAGGGCGAGAGGAGAGGGTGTCCGCCAGGGGGAGGAGGAAAGGGCAAAGGGTAAGCTAAACAGATTCTCGTGCGGGGTCCTACCGTCGGAGTAATTGTTTTTGGGCCCTGACCCCGCCGATTTGCGTGAGGGGAGCCACCGAATGTCAGACATGTGGCAAATCCCATGTGTTTTTGGACGCTGACCCCGCCGATTTGCGTGAGGGATGCCACCGAGTTTTAGACATGTGGCAAATCCCATGTGTTTTTGGACCCTGACCCCGCCGATTTGCGTGAGGGGTGCCACCGAATGCTACAAATGTTGCAAATCCCCTTTGTTTTTGGACCCTGACCCCGCCGATTTGCGTGAGGGGTGCCACCGAATGTCAGACATGTGGCAAATCCCATGTGTTTTTGGACGCTGGCCCCGCCGATCTGCGTGAGGGATGCCACCGAATTTTCGAAATGTGGCAAATCACATGTGGTTTTGGACCCTGACCCCGCCGATTTGCTTGAGGGGTGGCACCGAATGCCAGAAATGTTGCAAATCCCTTGGCCCCGCCGATTTGCGTGAGGGGTGTCTCCGAATGTCAGAAATGTTGCACATCCCCTGTGTTTTTGGACCCTGACCCCGCTGATCAGCGTGAAGGGTGCCACCGGATTTCAGACATGTGGCAAATCCCATTTGTTTTTGGACCCTGACCCCGCCGATTTGCGTGAGGGGTGCCACCGAATATCAGAAATGTGGCACATCCCCTGTGCTTTTGGACCCTGACCCCGCCGATCTGCGTGAGGGGTGTCAGTTTTCCCCACCCCAGCAATTCAGACGATTTCTCCGTGGTAAAAATGCATGTTTTGGGCCTTCCCCCCCCCGCGCGGTCCATCAACAAACAACAGCAGGCAGCAAGAAGTCAGCAAGGAACAGCAAGCAGCAAGGAGCAGAACTCTAACAGCGGAAACTGGAAGCGGAAACTGCGAAGCCCGACCCAATCTTAATTCCGAGCTGGGGTGTGTGGGCAAGCCAGGACGCTGCGCCACTGCTTGCGGTTTGTGCCGCGCCGGCGTGCCGCCCATGTGGCGCGGGGCGAGCGCCGCCTCGGCGGCAGCGGTGCTGCTCCTCGCTGCGGGCGCCCCGCCCGCGCGGGGCGCGGGGCCCGCGTCCCCGGAGGCCTCCGGCTGCCCGGCGGCCGAGGCGGGGCTCGAGGACCACCCCGAGGTCCAGAGGAGTCGGGCAGTGGCGAGGCGTCCTGGCTTGCCCACAGGCCCGCCGAAGAGTGCTCTAAGAACCTGCTGTGGTTTGCACGAGGCGTTCTTAGACCCTTCCTGGCCGAGGTTTTGACACATCGGGCTTAATGCTCTCAGAACATCGCTTTTGTTCTTAGAACGTTCTTGGGTTCTGAGAACATGTCGTGGAAGGCCTGTAGGAATGCCGGGACGGCCGGACCCTGCTCAAAGGAGGGGTATCGTGCTCGTCCCCTCGTCCTCCCCTCCCTTCTCGTCGTCCTCGTCTTCCTTCTTGGCCGTCTTGGGCCCCTGTTGGGCCCGTCGGGGGGCCCTCTTGGACCGTTTTCAGCCCCTCTTGGGCCGTCTCGAGCCCTTCTGGACACGTCAAGGGGAGATCCCGACAAACCTCCAAAAACCAATGGGAAATCAATGTGTTTGGCCTCGACAACTCGAGGCCCTGCAAGCCGATAGAGAGAGAGAGAGAGAGTGCACGCGGGCCTGCCGCTCGTTGAGAGCCCCCCTTTGCGAGGCGCGCCCCGCCAGGGCGAGCAGTATCTGGTTCCGTGCGCCCTGCGGCGGGAGTGTCTGCCATCAGGCGCACGGCCCAGAGTTACTAGTACCACTAGTGCCACTAGTACTACTCGTACTACTCGTACTGCCAGTACTCGTGCTAGTTCTAGTCCTCGCCTTGGTACTAGCACTCGCCGCGGCGGCCGCCGTTACCGTCACCTCCCCCCCCTTCCCCCCCACGTAATTAACACGTGCTACCCCCCAGGAAAAAATTAGCAGTCTCTTCCAGACATCCTCTGCGTGGTTCTGCTTCCCCTGAAGTCGATGTATGAGAAAAACGTCTTCCTCGATCCAGCTGCATCTCGCGAGTTCCGTTGCAGAGCTATATGATTATCAGTGCCAGGTGATGTGTGAGATGTGCGGGGCTTGTTGAAGGATGTCTGTCGTTGGAGAAAATGAGGGAGACCAGGAGATTCTACTCAGGAGCTTCGGGGGAAGGTTTCGGAAATTTTCGAGGCTCGGGGCGGTTTTTATCAACTGCGCCTCGTCGAGAGCGTTCTGGGGGTGCCGCAATCATTCCGAAACGCCGGCGGAGGCCTGCGTGTTAGGAGCGGAAGGTCAGGGGCAATGTTAGGGGGGGGCCTCGAGGTTCGAGGTTTTCGGGCGGTTTCGTCGGTTCCGAGCGGTTTTCCAGCCTTAGGATGTCTTCCAGTGGATGCACCTCGCCGAGGGCGCTCCGTGGGTGCACGGATCGTCCAGAACGGCCACCTGAGAGCTGGGCTAGAATACGAAAACCAGGGGGGAACGTTAAGGGGGGGGGGAGTCGTAGGGGGGGGATGCATCCCCCCCCCAATGAGCATGTATTGTCGACACGGGTCCGATAGCCCACCTCGCCCAGGAGCTTGATTCGCGAACGGGGGGCAGATCGCCAGTCTGTCGGCGATGCATCGCCGACTCCAGGTCGATGTGTCCCCCCCTGAGACGGTCCCCCCCAAAACGCTCCCCCTCACGTACACGCCGGTCGTTGAAAGTCGGTATTTCTGGACTCCCAGATCCCAATCTGCTTCAAGCGCCATCCCACCTCAAGAATCGATATGCCTCTGCTGCGTGCTTGGTTGCTCTCTGGGAGGGCCTGAACTCCGTCTGCTTGATCCGCCATCCCACTTCATGCTTCTGCCTACTCCTTCCGACCGGCGCGTGCTGGGACAGGTGGCCTCCCCCCGTGAGGTTTGCAGCGCCTCCAGACGGGCCCCCGCTGCCACGGCTGGATCCGCTTCTACATCCCAGGCAGGACGAGCCCGCTGGGGAGGCATATCGTTCTCTCTCTCTCTCTCTCTCTCTCTCTCCCCCCCCCCAGAGAGTCAGCAGGGGAACAAACACACAGGCACGGTTGATGGCCGATTCCCAGGAGAGTATAGGAAAATGTGGGAAGTGGTGGGGAAGGCGATTGCCCAGAAAATATAGGAAGATATGGGGAGTCCTGGGATTTGTGTCTACGTATTCATTTGTGGGGGCCCCTTCACAGAGAGGTGTTCGGACGAAACGGGGCGATGGGGCAACGGAAGGTCACGAAGCCTGCTGCGTGCAGCTGGCTTCGGCCTCGCCGCCAGGCGCCTTCCTCGGTGCGTTCGTCCTCGTCCTCGTCGTCCTCGTCGTCGTCCTCGTCCTCGTCCTCGTCCCCAGATCCCCGACGTCATGTTTTTTTCGCGACGTGGGCCCCCACAGGTCTCGACTCTTTCCCCAAGGCCAGCTTTTCATCCTGAATCGTTGTTTGGCGGTCCTTGGGCCCAGCGAGGGCCCCCCACAAGCCGAAAACCTGTCCCCCGTCCGTCCCACCCGCAGGTCGATCACTGGGGGTGCGGTCGCTTCAGATCGGGCGTGGCCCCCGCACGCCCTGACCCAGCTCTGGGGTAGTGAGAAAGCGAGCGCTGCGTCGTCTCACTCTTCTTCGATACGCGTTCGACACGAGAGGTCGAGCAGATGCGGGCGGTCTTCGTGCAGTCCCGCCTGGCGACCGTGAGTGATCGCTCCGCGGTCTTCGGAGATCCGGAGCAGCAGGCTGCTGGCGGCCCTGGCGTCGCGCGCCTCCTGCGGAGCGCCGGGGCCCTCTCGATGACAGCAGAGGAGCGCGTGAAGCTCGTCACGCCCGTGGCGTGGTTTCACGTTCCGAAGACAGGGACGTCGTTCTGCAACACGCTCTACCACACGCCCGGGGTGTGCGAGTTCTTCCCGCGCGAGAATTACATAGGCGACTCGACCAGCGCCGGCTCATGGGACCCCACCTGGAGGGCCATGGACGGGCTCTGCCCTGGTGGTTTCAGCGCGACGTATAGGCCCGCCACCACCGGCCAGCACGGAGGCCTGGACCAGTCGCTCTGGGAGCTCAACCGCGGGCACCTGGTGACCATGCTGCGCCAGCCCGAACAGCGCCTGATCTCCGGCTACAACCACGAGGGGCAGATGGAGTGGCCATTCGACACGCCGGCGGCGAGCCTCAGGGAGTACGCGGAGCTCGGGGGCAGCGATCGGGGGGCATAGGCGTAGGGGGGGATACATCGACCCCCAATCTCCCACTCATTGCAGATGTGGGCCCGATAGCCCCAACCTGCCCAGAAAGGTGCGGACTCACCATCCCCTGAGATCCGACGTTGCAAAAAAAATGCAACAATGCAGAAATCACGCCTGGAGCCCCGGACCCCATCTTTCTGCGTCATTGTTCGAGCAGGATCGATCTGTGAGAATCCCAGGGCCCGAAACTGGGCGAAAACGCCCGTCGCGAAAAAAATGCAACGCGAGGATCTCAGGGTCGGAGGCCTATCGCCGATCCATCGGAAACGTATCGCCGTTTCCAGGTCGATGCATTCCCCCCAGCCCCTCCCCCTACCGTTAAGTCGGGCCATCTTCAGGAGGAAGGTCCAAGAATAGTACAAAAATAGGCTGAGGCCGATGTTTCGAGTATTTGTTTGTTTGACAATGTTTGAATATGTTTGTTAGTCTTTGTTACTTTTCGTTTCGTCGAACATCGGCCTGTAGGGGGACATGCCCGACCTAGCCCTGCCGGTGCCCCGCAGGAGTGGATGGCGGGCGGCACCGTGCGCCAGCTGGCGCGGGGCGGTGGCCACGCCAGCGGGGAGCTGCCGGTGCCGACCGCGGAGGAGGTAAGCGTCGCGGTCGGCAGGCTGAGGGACGGGCTCGCGTCTTAGTTCTGCGGCGAGCGAGGGGGGGAAGTGAGAAGGAGAGGAGGAGGAGGAGGAGGAGGAGGAGGAGGAGGAGGAGGAGGAGGAGGAGAAGGCCTTCTCAGAAGGCGGCGCGACTTCTCAGCAGCCCTCGCGCCTCCTGTCCTCGGTGGAGGCTCAGAGAACTTCTCAGAAGGGCGAGGGACTTCCGAGCCTTCTGAGGAGGCCTTCTCTTTCTCACTCCCCCCCTCGCTCGCCGCCAATTAGCTGCCTCGATACGCCCGATGTGAGATGCAACATGTACCGTGCTCAAAACGTCTGTGTCAATATGCTGCGTTTTGCCTCCGGGTAATGGCCCGTGCTTTGACGAACGTATCACGCCAGACCTGCGTGTTCAGTCTACTCGTTGGGCTCCGTTTCAGGACGCTACATGTCGCGTGTTGCATCGGGGCTGCTAAGGTTCGCGTTCGTGGGAGTCACGGAGCAGTGGGACCTCTCGGTCTGTCTGTTCCGTGCGATGTTCGGGGGCGTGTGCGTCGCTTCGGACTTCTCGAACACGCGGCTGGGGAACGCATCCACTGGCAGCTCTCTGTATGACACCAGCGAGCTGTATGGCTTTGTCGATAACTACGACGGGCCCGTGTACGCGGAAGCGCTCGTGTTGCTTAGCAAGGGGGTCGAGCTGTACGGCGTCGATGAGAGCAAGTGCACTGCTGACTGCTGGTGATATGCTCCGGAGCCACGTTGCGACCACCAGTGCGCTCCTCCCCAACTACCCCTCTTCTCCCCTCTGTCGTTGCGGTTCATCCTCAACCTAGTGATGTTCCTCCTCTTGCCTCTCTCTTTTATTATCCGTCTCCCCCTCCTGCTCCACGTAACCTCAACCGTCCTCCCCCCCTTCTCTTCGAGGGGGCCGGGGGGGGGTAATTCAATTGATGGCGGCAGTGATCGTATTTAGCCGTTCGCGACCCACAGGGCAGTATCTGGGCGCTCAGTCTGCATAGGAACACAGCTTGGCTTTGGACCGCCAGCGTGCAGCACAGGCGCACTGCTTTGCCGCTCTCACTAACTTGCTTGTCTTTCCTCCAGATACAACTGGCTTCATCACTTCATCACCGGTCATCTTCATCAATACCAGCATCATCGCCATGTTGGTCATCGTCATCATCGTCATCGGCAGCAGCAGCTGTACCATCGTCTGCATCATTAGAGTCATCGTCATCGTCATCGTTATCCTCCGCCTGCTCCGCTCATCCCCCTCTTCCTCGTTATTTCTTCGTTTTCCTACGTACTCACCTTCGAATGATCCCCCTCCTCGTCTTCGTCCACCATGCTCTGGCTTGGATCTCCCTGCCGGGAGATACTACTGCGAACGGATCCCTGGGGAATCCGGCTTGCCCAGCACCGCCCACTGGAAGCCTCACCACCATTCATCCCCGTTCTTGGTCCTTTCCTTCTCCTCCCGCCAACTCCTCCATCCTCATTCCTCCCTTGCTTCTGCGACGACGGCGACGAGGTACGACCAACTGCGGCACTGACGACGATTATGATCACGACGACGATCACCTCGACCGAGGACCGACGACGAAGACCACAAGACGATCGACGTTGGCAGCGACGGACGAGGGACGACCAGCGTCCGAGGAGCGATGGCCGACGACGGGCGAGTTGCCCCCTGGCCCTCGGGCCACACGTAGCTCGGCTCCTCGACGGCCGCTCGGGACGATCTGGGCACCCCCGGAACGCTCTTGGCGTGGCGCAGCTGCTGGACGACATCCCGAGGCTGGGAGATCGCCGAGGACCTCAAAACCTCAGACCTCAAACTTCAAACGACGGCCTCAAACCTCGACCTCGACGAACCTCAGACCTCGACGAGCCTCAAACCGCGAAGACGCCCGGAAGCCTCACACCTCGACGGCGTGCCGCGGACGGGCCGCCGCGCCCTGCTAGAGGCGCCGCCGAGCCCGTCCTGGCCACGCCCGAGCCCGTCCTGGCCGCGGCCACGCCCCGCGGGCGCAAGGCCCAGCCGAGCGAGGAGCCCCTCCCCGGCGGCCCCGAGGGAGCGAGGATCTGCAGATTGTTCATGTCTTATTCTTCGGAAGTTCTTTGATTCTCTGGGGGGCCAAGATCCTCACATTTCTAATTCTTCTATCCTGGGCCTCTTCCTGGCCACTAGGGGGCCGGGAACAAGTAGAAACGATCACAATTAGAAATGAGCACGATTAATTAGAAATGAACGACGTGTAGGCCTCCTGGATGGGGTCGGAGTAGATGGGGTCGGTGGATCGCGCCGCATCGCCGATGCATCGACGTCCTAGTTTGTCCACGCCGACGTCGCCGATGCATCGTCCACGCCGACGATGCATCGCCCGTGCATCGCCGATGCATCGCCGATGCGTCGCCGATGCGTCGCCGATGCATCGCCGATGTATCGCCGATGCGGCGCGATCCTCCGACCTCATCTACTTGGACCCCATCTAGGAGGCCTCTAGAGGAGCGAGGAGGAGGAGGCGGAGGAGGCCCAGGAGGAGCAAGAGGACCAGTGCAAGCCCAAGACGCATCAATGATATTGCAATGCACCTTCTCTCCAGGCTGCCCCTCCACGAGCCCCTAGAAAAATTACTCTCGTGGCGGGAAGTGGCCCATTAGAAGATTGGGAATTCCTAATCGTGTCAAAACATCGTTTTGGGGATTTAAACACCGCGGATACATTATGGTGTTGTGTCCTGATAGTCCGTAAGGGCTTCGCCCCCTGCCGCCGGCCCCCTCTCTCGGATAATGGGCCATGGAAGAGCGAAGTCATGAGGCTTTGGCTTCGCCGTGAAGCAGTGTCGGGACCTGTTTGTTTTTTCGACCCTGACCCTACGGATCTGCGTGAGGGGTGCCGCCGAATTTCAGAAATGTGGCACATCTCCTTTGTTTTTGCACCCTGACCCTACGGATCTGCATGAGGGGTGCCGCCGAATTTCAGACATGTAGCAAATCTCATGTGTTTTTTGACCCTGACCGTGTTTTTGCACCCTGACCCCGCCAATCTGCGTGAGGGGTGCCGCCGGATTTCAGAAATGTGGCAAATCTCATGTGTTTTTGCACCCTGACCCCGCCGATTTGCTTGAGGGGTGCCACCGGATTTCAAAAATGTATAAAATTCTCTGTGTTTTTGGACCCTGACCCCGCCGATCTGCGTGAGGGGTGCCACCGAATTTCAGACATGTGGCCAATCTTGTATGTTTTTGGACGCTGACCCCGCCGACCTGCGTGAGGGGTGCCGCCGGATTTCAGAAATGTGGCACATCTCCTCTGTTTTTGCACCCTGACCCTGCCGATCTGCATGAGGGGTGCCGCCGAATTTCAGAAATGTGGCACATCTCATGTGTTTTTGCACCCTGACCCCGCCGATCTGCGTGAGGGGTGTCACCGAATTTTCAAACATGTGGCAAATCCTTTGTGTTTTCGGACCCTGACCCCGCCGATCTGCGTGAGGGGTGTCAATTTTTACCCCACCCCAGCAATTGAGACAATACGATTTGGGCGTGGTAGAAATGCCTGTTTTGGGCCTCCCCCCCTCGCGCGGTCCATCAACAAGGAACAGTAAGCAGCAAGAAGTCAACACGGAACAGTCAGCAGCAAGAAGCAGAACCGTAACAGTGGAAACTGGAAGCTGCAACTGGTACAGGAAACTGCGAACCTCCCGCCTACAGCCTGGTGGCCCCACAAGGGGGCCGGGGGATCCCAATTTCGTGCCAGAACGCCATTCCTGGGACTTCAACACCGCGAATCAATGCAACTGATGCGTCCTGACAGTTCCAAATTGTGCTAGAACGTCACACCTGGGCGAACATACGAATCTTTGAAACAGTTGAAAGCTTTCAAGACGAATGTGCGCGGCGCCAAGGCGAGAGCACCATGTTGAAAACCATCCGCCATCCATTTGTGAAAGTGTTGCAAACATTTGAAACAAATGTGTGCGGCGCTGAGGCGAGATCGCCATGTTGAAGACGACCCGCTCTCCATCCTTGAAGCTGCTGCAAGCTTTTCAAGACGAGTGTGCGCGGCGCTATGGCGAGAGCACCATTTTGAAAACCACCTGCCCTCTATCCGAGAAGCTGTTGCATACTTCTATGACGAACGTGCGCGGCGCTACGGCGAGAGCCACATTTAGAGCACCACCCACCCTCCATCCGTGCAACTATTGAGAATTCCAAGCGTCGGGATCAGAAATGGCGAGGGAGTTTGAGGCGCAGCACCTGGCCCGCCAAAGAGACACGTCTTGGGGTGCGACAGGGGGGAGTCACTTATAAGGAAAAGGGGGGGAACGGAGGAGCATGAGGAGGAGCAGGAGAAGGAGGACAGGAGGAGACAGGAGCGGAAGGAGGAGGAGGAGGAGGAGGAGGAGGAGGAGCAGGAGGAGGAGGGGAAGGAGGAGCGAGGAGAAAGGAGCGAGGAGGAGGAGGAGGAGGAGGAGGAGGAGGAGGAGGAGGAGGAGGAGGAGGAGGAGCAGTCGCGAGGATGGGAACGAGGAGGCAGTCCCCCAAGCGTCTCCTCGGCGGCCCTCACCACGAGTAACGGGCGTGTCGCGTTCTGTATTGCGAAGGCCTTAAAGCCGGTGCCGCCGACCCTGAATGACGACGACGACGACGACGACGACGAGCTCTCTCGGGGGCTTCTTGGGGGTAGTTTGGGGGCCTCTTGGGAAGCTCTTGGGAGCCGCTTGGGAGCCTCGTGGGAGCCTCTTCGGACTTAAAGGGGGGTCTCTTGGGGGCCTCTTGGGGTCTCTTGGGGGGCTTCTGAGGCGCCTCTGGGGGCTTCCTGAGAGCTTCTCAGGCCGGGGGATCGAAATGTCCGTGCGGGTCCCCCGTCTGCTCCCTCGTGGAGCCGTCCAGGGGGCCTCATCGGCTGTCTTGGATGCCTCTTGGGCGGTCTTGGGGCTCTCTTGGGTCGTTGTGGAGCTTTCTTGGAGGCCTCTTGAGCCATCTTGGGGCGGTCTTGGAGGCCTCTTGGCCTGTCTTGGAGCGTCGGGAAGCCGACAAGGCGAGACTGCTGAAACACCCGCGAGGAATCGACATTTTGTTGCCCCTTGGGGCCGTCTTGGAAGTCCTCTTGGAGGCCTCTTGGGGCGTTTGGGACACCTTTCGAGCCGTCCGGAGGTTACTTTGGCGACTTGGACCGATATATCGGCGATCTGTGGCCCTCGAAGACCGTCTTTGGGGCACTTTTGCCGCGTCTTGGGGCTTTTGAGGGCCCCCGAAGCTCCCGGGGGGGGCGTCGCATCTGCCCTGGGACCCCCCCCCGGGACCCCCCTCCGGGACCCCCCCCCCCAGGACCCCACTCCCGGGACCCCTCCCCCCCGGCGGGGAAGGGATCAAAGGGAAGGGGCTTCTCTTCGACTCAACTGCAGCGTTGCCGAGACTCGACATGCAGCCTCTTCCACACGCCGACAGGGTCGGCGGGTTCCGGTGTGCGGTCCCGTGGATGCGCGATCGCACGGATATGTCCCGAGCGGGGCACCCGCGCAAAGCTGCACTACGCAGTATCCCTGAGGCCGCGGCCGAGGAGCTCGGCCCGCGAGGCCGTGGATGATCTGGATGCGCTGCCCGCCCACGGCTTCCGCCGGCCACTCGGCGGTCCCTCCGCGGTGGAGCGGAGGACCCGACGGGGCCAGGGCGGGGAGAAGTCCGCTCCACTGCGCCCCGGAACGCTCCCAGAGCGTTCCGGAACGCTCTGGGAACGCCGCGGCGCTCGAGACGTCGCCCAGGGCCGTCGGCTCTCAGGGATTCTCTATGTATTTTGCCACTCGATTTTATCCTGGTCGTGGCTTCGTCTCGGGGGAGGGGGATGGAATCTGGTGGATCCCTCTTCAGATAGTGGCAGCCGTTGTTCGAAGAAGCGCCAACATGGATGAGTGACGGCACCCGAGCAACGACGTCATGTCCACGAGCGCATTGCTGCCCAGCAGCCTCGCGGCGGCGGCGATGGTCTCCAAGCCCAGGAGTTCGAGGCGCGGTCCGGGCGTGCCGAGGACAGGTCGGCCCCTGCGGGGAAGCGTGGGCACCGCGCCTCCATGTTGCGCCTGGCCCCGAGCGCGGTAGGCGCTTCCGCTGCCTGGGGAGGAGGACCCAGTGCCACCGGCGGGATGCAGCGTTCCACAGCGCGGCGAAGGCCGCCAGCTTGCAAGATGCGGCGCCAGAGTGGGCTGCGCACGCACGCCGTGCAGGCAGAGTGCTGGCCGGGGATCCTCTCCGCGCGAGCGGGCTTGCGCCGCAGGGGAGGCGAGGGAGCGCCGCTCCCGTCCTTGGCTGGCTGGCTGGCAGGACCGCTGCGAAGCCGGAGCGGGCCGCGCGGCGGGGCAGAGGACCGTACAGCCACGGCCGCCGCCGGCCCCGCCGCTCCGGCTGGTCGCTGGGCGCACTATCCTGAACAGGCCCACGCGGCGAGCACCCAGGGGATGCGCGCGCGGAGACCGCACGTTCCTCGTCCCTCCGCCATCCTCCTCGTCCTCGCCGCCCTCCCCTCTACCTCGTTATCCCTCCTCGCCGACTCTTCCTCGCTGTCGCCGTCCACGCCCCGGCCCCTCCGGCCCCCTGTGCTCCTCTGAAACTGTCCGCCTCCTCCATTCCCTCGCCCTTCGCCTCGTTGGATGGCGTCCTCGTGGTCGCGCGCTCGCGCTTTGTGCCGCGGCGCGCATTCTGTGCGCCCTCCTCCCCGGGGGGCCACGAGCCAGCGGCCGCAGGCTCTGCCGGTGGTCGCCCGCGCGTCGCGCTTCGACGCCGACGCGCCGCAGCCACGGGGCGGCGCAGTTCCCCGCCGAGCCAGTCATCGAAGAGGCAACGCGAGATCGCGTCAGATCAACAGGTTTATAACAGCACATGTTACATGTTTCAAGCGTGGAGTCGCGCGAGGATCCACGGCAACAGATCGGACGCAGTCTCAGCGGTGCCGGAGGGCGCGCAGTGCAAGTCGAATGCCTGCCTTCTCAAGTGCCGCGCGCGTGCAACGCGACGCGTAACAAACACGAAATAGATTTGCAAGTATTTCGCAGTACAGCTGCGCAGAGCGCATGCGCATGCAGTGCGCCCCAATTCAAGCGCAACGCGCATGCAATCGATGGAGTCCACGTGTAACCAACAAGCCACAGGGGCTCAATGGTTAGGATTCCAGGCGACCACGGCGTTAGAATACGTCGGAATCTAAGAATGATAGCCCTAACAAGTGGGGAGTGGGGGGAAGGAGCGGGAAAGGAGGGGGGAAGGAGGACACGAAATGTGGAGAGCAGGGGGGAAGACAGAGGAGGGAATACATTGGAGGGCGCGAGAAGAAACGCGGGGGGGAGGCGGGGATGACGGACGAGGAGGGGGGGCGGCTGGTTCCGCCGACGGTCGGTCTCGCCCGGCCAGTTTCGCCCGCGGCCGGTTTCGCCGACGCTGCTTTCGCCCGGCTGGTTTCGTCGCCACCCCCGGCTGGCTCCCTCCAGCTGGTTTCCGCCGACCCGCCCGGCGAGGCCCCGCCCGCCCGCGGGGGGCCCCGCCCGCTCGGCCCGCCCGGTTGGGGCCGTGCCCGCTCGCGTGCTGGCAGGCCCGGCCGCTGTGAACACTGCTCCGCCCGCCCGACCCGCCCGTGAGGGACCCGACAGCCCGACCCGTACGACGACGCCGTATGTCCTGCAAACTCCGCGGGGGTTTGGATCAGGGGGGTTTAGATCAGGAGCCTTTTTGCTTTGGAAGCGCTCATGATGAATGATCGAATTTCGCATGGCCGTATCATACTGTGATACGGCCCGGCGCGCCCGACCCGCCCGTTCGGGTCCCGCCCGCCCGACCCGCCTCCAGGGGACCCTCCCTGGCGAAGCCGGCCGCCGGTGAACAAAAACGCCACGGCGAAAGCCAGCCGCCAGCGGAGCCAGCCGCTGGTGCACGAACAGCCGCTGGTGTACAACCAGCGTCGGGGAAGCCATCGTTGGCGAGCCCAGCCTGCGCCCCGAGGGGGA